ACATATTTTTTTTATATGGAAAAACTTGAAACGTTTGTATTTACCTTAGGGTTGCTCTATGGCATTGCAATATTCAAATGATACGATCCCACATGCATTTTAGCTAAACGAGTTGCAAATATAAAAAAGGATATATAACAAGGATAGAAAAATTTTAAGAAAAAAATTAAACATTTCTTCGCACAATAACTGAGCAAACTACAAAAGTCCTTGCCAAGGGTAAATGCAAAATACAATTTGACTAAAGCGAAAATTTTTCTAAAGAACTTAAAGAAGCAAAAATAATAATAAAGAAGAAAATTTCAAATAAATAGAAATTTAAAAAAAAAAATAAAAAATAATAAAAAAGAAAATAAAACACAAATATTCATGCATATAAATTCTTTAAAGGAAATTCAAAGGAATAAGTACGTATTACAAAAACAACAAAAGCAACAAAAACAAATATGGAAAAGCAAAGAAACTGAAAATGTAAAAGTTAAAAAGAAAAAAAAATTTAACTACAAACACATAAACACACTGTGAAGTAAGCCAACTAATGACAACGACACGACAAACAGGACGTCAAACTGCAGGATGAGCTGCAGGACGAGCTGCAGGACGAGCATAAAGTCATAGGATAAGAAGTAAAAGTAGAAGAAGAAGACGTTAAAAATGACGACTCTGAAAGCAGATAAAGCACCAACAGCAGCAAAAGTTACAACAGGAATAGTAAGCAGCACAGCAAAAAAAAGTAGCTACATCAGCACCAAGACCAGGACCAGTGAATATGGCTAAAGTGGATACAGCAGTAGAAGCAGCAGCAGCAGTTCAAAGTTTTTAGGGTGCAGATGTAATAGAAGAAGTATTTGCAAACTCGCACGGACATCCTCATGTGCAACATGCCAAGTAGTTGCATGCCAATCCTGCTGCAAATAACACATACGTGTCTGTGTGTTACGTATCTGAGGATATAAGATACGCCAGTAAGCAAGCAGGCAAGCAACAATAAACGGAAAAGCAATGAAAATGGCAATAGTTAAAACCAAAAGTAAAAGCTACGCCAGCAAAAATAATATTAAGATCCTTAAACGCTGGTTTGAGTTCCTGTCGAAATATGTGGCAGTGAGAGTGTAATGAAATTCTACAAACATTCATGAAATTGTGTCTGTTGAAGTGTTTGCCATAGTAAAAGTGTTAGTCAGAGTGATGTTATCCCAATTCGCAAATTTTTCAAATTTTCGCTAAAGATATTTAAAAAGTATGTCTAAGATTATGTGTTATGTTAGACTTAATCTAGTCTATTTAAGAGTTTGAAAATTGAGAAGCTTGAATTAACACCAGTAACTTTGGATGTTGAAATATTTATCTTTGATTTTGAAATGTTGCATTAGGTTGTCCAAGTGATCCTGATCCTAAACAATAATACATTCTTCAGTAAACGAAAATGTTGAATTAAACTGGAAATCCTGATATATTTCAAAATAAAAACAGTTTCTTCAATGAACGATTTTAAAATGTTAGATTAGGTTGTCGAGGAAGTTCTGATCTATTTCTATTGTATTTTCTAATAATAATTCGCTTAAATGAAGTACAAAGATCAATTCATAATATATATATTGCCTGTTTTATTAAAAAACCTCTTAAAATTTCTCATTCAATAAGTTTAATAAGTTTATTGGCGAGAAACTGTATAGAGTACTAATTTGCATTCTGATATGAATTAAGAATTGAATTCGCTGTGTGGTTCGTTAGTCTCTCTAAAAGCCCTCTTAAAAATCGATACAAATGAACATTTTAAAGCACAAATTCAGGCAAATATGACGGGTGTACCAAAACTTCCCACCCAAGGTTTAATAATATTTTACGGAATATCAAATTTGCATATGTTCTTGAGTTGTCCTTATAAAACATATCTTCTTTACGATTGACAAATTCTGAATATATTGAGTGATGGATTTCTTCGAAGTCTATATACAATTGCCGACAACACAAATTCATATAATTACTTTAGTAGCTTGATAGGAACAGTTTTATAAACTCATTACTCTGTCAACATAACGTTTCTGTGATATGTAACTGCTTTCGATATCGTTTCAGATGAATCAATATATAAGGACCAAGACTCTTACCATGATAAAATGATTATTTCTTCATGTTTTTATTTTGACTTCTCAAAATTTTTTTTAAAAGTACAATATGTACCTTGAAAATACTTTTATGTTTTTGTAATATTCGGTTCACTCGCTTCTCTATTGTTCAGAACTCGACCGCTTGCTTGAAACAATCAAATTAAAGCTACCAAAGTTGACCATTAGAAACGGAATAGTGTTCCATCATGACTGTGCCAAGCCACATAACTCTTTGATGACTCAAAACAAAATCACAGAACTTTATGTTTCATCATGACTGTGCCAGGCCACATACCTTTTAGATGACTCAAAATAACTTTTGATGCATCTAAAGTATTGCACGGACTTTACAATACTTCGATTGTCATTTGTTGCGGTCGCCACAAGCTCTCATAATGGTAATCAACTGACCAACCGAAGAACTATTGAAAATCACTTGACCAAGTTTTTGACTAATGAACCACAGAACTTTCATATCGATGGAATAATATGACATAATATGATAATATGACTGCAACTTTTATTCGAAATGTGTTATATTGTTACCGCTTTATACTACTACTCAGTTATTAAATTGGTTACTCCAGATCGTGAACACCAGTAAAGTTGTATAAAAAGAAAAATAATTTATAATAAATATTGGAATAAGCTAACATAACTCGTACTAGGTCATGATGACCTAAAATACAAATAATATGGACTACAAAAGGTAGTCCATATGCCAGTACTGAATTAAAGTCACTATTTTTGCTTAATTATCTCCAAAGAGTATATTGCGCTACAATGGTATCTACTCACCATAATTTGCAATACTTTGAATTAAAATATAGATCAGTTAGGAAACGCTTCTTCATAGCTTATAAATATTCATGTTGACTTACTGGGATTGTCTTAAGTCTTTTGCTTGTAGCAAGATTGCTGCCAAATAAAAAAAAAAAGAGTAAAGAACAAATAAAATAAAAATTCTTCTAAAGACGGTGAAGAAGAAAGACAGTTATAACAACAACAAAAGGCAATACTAGAGTGACAACAACAAAAGCAACAGCAGCAGTGCCAGCTCAAACCAAACAAAAACAACTTGAAGAAATTGCAGCAAAGTAGGGTTTCCGCTTCAATTCTTTTGACTATTATTGAAGTTGGCAACTTTTTGCTTATTTTATGCAACTTGTAAAACTTGAGCAAGTAAGAGCGGTTGAAGTAGCAACCAATACCAGTGCCAAAATACCAAATACAACAACAACAACAACAACAGCAGCAGCAGCAGCAACTAACAACGACGTCAGTAACATGAATAAATTGCAGTAACATTTGTAAGGTGGCGCAGAAGTGCTTTGGTGTCCTTTGCATGCTTTAGTTTTGTACGCTGTTTCCTTTTTATATGAACTTTTTTTTTATTAAGTTTCTTTTATTATACATTTTTTTTTTGTTGTTAATTTTTGTTGCATACTTTACTTAACTTAACTGGCAAAGGATATGCGCAAAGTATTCTTGCTGTTGGTAGGTCAATGCACGTACAAAAGCCACTTTTCACTACAAAACATTTGCAAACGCGAATATTGCATAGCTACATCATCAAAAACAGCAACAACAACAACTACAACAATAACAGCAGCAATATCAGAAGTGGAAGTAGCAACACCAATATAACCACAACAACAACAACAACAACAGTAACAACAGCAACAGCGTAAAAAACAATATAATAGCATCTGTACCAGCAATAGCAATTGCAACAGCAGCAGTTGTGAAAACATTTAACAACATTTGCAGCACGCAGTAGTAAAGCAACAATACCGCGTTACCTTACCATACCAAAATCCAAATCCAGGACGAACATACAACCAATCCTGCAGCAGCGAGCGAATTCCGCTTGCAATTGCACAATATTTCTCTACATAAATACGTTTAGTACGTGCGCTTTAAACTTTGAGTTTTATAACAAATTAAATAAAATTTTATTTTTATTGTACTTCTTATCCTGCAACAATTTTTATTGTTGTTGTTGTTGTTGTTGCTGCTGCTGCTGCTGCTGTCGCTCTTACTGCTGTTGCTGCTGATGCTGCTGCTGATGCTGCTGTTCCACTGTTGAAGTACAACTAGGAGTTGCTGCTATTTTGGTGTAAAGTTTGCAAACATTTCACTTTATTTCATTAATATTTTTTTCGTCCTTTCCCCTTTTGCATTTAAATGCAAAATACACAGCAGCAGCAGCAGCAGCACACAAAGGCGAAATTGAATTTCTTAGTAGCGTTGCATCGAAATTAAATTTTCAAATGCATTGCAAATGTATAGTACGAGTGCACTGAGAGAAAAGTTTTACTAACAAAAAACAAAAAAAAACAAAAAAACAAAAAAAAGTGCTGCTATAATGCAAATATTTTTTTACTGACAAAGCATAAAACTAATTTTCATTTGTAAAATTTTGTGGACTGCTACTAAAATGCCAATGGAACTGCATTATGTCCTGCGTAACTAAAGATGCAACTGCATTACTCATTCAGCGAAATAAAAGTAAAAGGATATTCTTTTGACTGTGACTGAAATAAATGATTTTTCTTTTTCTCGAAAATTTATTGTTGAAAAGCAATGCAGATTAAGTAGAATTCCTTTTTTTTTTACATTTAGGAATTAGAATTAGATTTTTTAAAGGTACCTAAATTTTGCTAATAATAACCATAGCTAATAATGGACGACATCAAAAGTGGATTAATTTTGTACATAATATAGATACGCTAGATAGATAGATATATCACTTATCCTTCTAACCTGTACTCAACTCTTCATCATGGCTTAGATATATTTACTATGTAATTGTTAAGCCTTTTAGTCATCTACTTCACTTCTTTCCCTGTATTTTGGAATGGGATTTGCAGCCTCGGACTTACACGGTCCCCTGCTCAAAATCTATTCTATGTGTATTCCTGAGAGGTGATTATAGTGGATTTAAGTCTCACAAGGTGGCTTTTGTTGTTTTCCACCTACCGTAGTATTAGATCATATTGAGTAGTGCACAATAACCAGTGGCGCTGCTTTAAAGTAATACTTCTAATTATTTTATATTTCATTCTCTATCATTCCAATTTTTTTTTTAGTTTTCTCATATGGGTCTTATTAGTAGTAAGTAAACAAAGTTTTCCCGGTACAGAAAGTCAAACTAATCTCTTCTAAAACCACAGTTAGTGCTAAAATCAACGCTGGACATAAAGGAATATGTGATATATATTACCAATTAAATTGAGGAACTTGGATGGATAGGTTAATTAGGAGCAAGCTCTGTATTAGGGGATACTGTAGCTATGATTAACTGAATTACAGGGAGAAAATAGGGATCTAATGCTGCGGTATGGCGTACTGCAGTCTTTAAAAAAAGAAAATATATTATATACTATGTTGAAAAAAGTGTTTTTCTAAAGCACTACAATGCTATTTGGTTGTCTGATTTTAGAACGATTATTCCTTACATAATATAAAAGATAGATTGCTTTTAACAAGAAAACGAACTTCTAGGTGTTGAGTTTAATATAAGCATATTTAATTTATTTAAAGGTACAAATCACCCGATAAATCCTGAAGTTTTGTAGCTTTAATTATTTAAATGTGAATACATCACTTAGTCAAAAAGAAAGTTTGGAATTTTAAAAATTTCTTTATACTTTAATTCATTATTGTACAAACATTTTTGGCTTAAGAAATTAACTTCTATAATACACCATTTTCTTTTAATTGTCATTTGAAACAAGTTTTCATGTTTTCAGTTCTATGAAAATTTACATATACACTTATTATCACTCACTTGCTTACATACTGTTGTCCTCTTCTCCTCGTGAAGCATAGGGGCTCTACTACTGTTCTAAACCTAACTCTATTGTGTATTTTGCGGCATATATCATTCCAGTTATAATTTTCATTATTGAATTCTCTGTCTATAGTTCTGCGCCAAGTTTGTGCTGGTGCGCTAGGCCTTCCTAGAGCCTTATTATCAGTGCATATTCCAAAAACGGTTACCTAAATAGGTTGAGTGGTAATATGCATAGTTGTTTTTAGCCTTTTTTTTCAACAAATAATAACGGACCCCTTGAAACTAAGAACGAAGTACATGTTTGAACCAATTTTAGGTTTAGGAAACGTAAAATGCCTAAGAACTCCATAATTTCGAAAGTTAGAACAGTTCCTAAAAACATAACTTCAGGAGCTACTTAATTAAATTCGTAATAATGTTGAAACATATACTTTGAAACACACCTATATAATGCAGATTAGAAATCTAAATAGAAGTCTAGCTTCATGTAGTATCGATAAGGAGGAATTTGTCTATGCATAGCTTAAAGCTAGCTTAAGCAAATAAATCTTACCTTTATAATAATATTACCGAGCCCTATTGTTTGTGTTTGTTGTATAAAGATTTAATATTGAAGAATTTATAAAATATTTTCTAGAAGACTTTCTTGTCTGTTATAACTAATTTCAAATCTATTGATGATTTTCTTTTATTTTCCCTGACTCAAACATTAGTTATTCCTGACACTTAGTTCATTGTTGAACTCTTTTGTACATTTTATTAGTTAAATGCATACCCTAAGAATAATATAGACCATAATCGAAATTTTGATAAAAATAATTTTAATAAATAATATAAATAATAATAAAATATTTAAATAATACTAACTTGACGACGCAATAGAGCTACTGACATAAGTAAAATAGAAAGGCGATTACCATGTTTAGATCTTTCAACTGTTATATATATGCATATACAAATATATAAACATATATGTATACATATATTCACATTTGTGTATAAACCGTATTACCTATATTCGATATTCAGCCTTTTCCGAGTTGATACATCTGGGCACTTCAACTCTTTGATAGCTGGGGGATTTCTGTAGAGTTCCAACCATCTCACTGACTAATTTGTGTATTCCTCATAAGATTCGTAATTATTCAATGACTGATCTAAGATCTGTGTAACGTCCTTTGCAGTTAGTGATTACTCTGAGATTAGATAGTGCTGAGTAAGGCAGCAGGGCTCTGTCCCTTATGTGTTCTTTGACAGGATCTATTCTAAGCTCTCTTAGCATGTCATTCGTGCGGATGAACCATGGCACTTTGAAGAGTCTTCGAAGAACCTGACTTTGAGCAACTTGTAGCTTCTGGATAGTAGAGTCGGCAGCTTTGTTATACGCGAGACACCCACAAAGTAGTGCTAATCTAATTATCTGGCTGTATGTATATAAACTGTATTATCTATATAAGAGCACAATTTTCCACTAATGAACTATTGTGTACATTTATTGATTGGATTTTCTGCACTAATTCTACTCTATTTTAAATTGCAATTCCTACTGTATATATAAGAAGGACGGCTTTTTCCGTTAAATGTTATTAGCCTTTTCTGAGTAGAATTTCGCTCAGCCACTAGTGTCTACTTGAATACATAATTGTGATACTGACAGTAAGTAAAATTGAAAGGTAATTAAAATGTTAAGATCTCTTCATCATTGTTTTATATGTCTGTAGCTCATATTATCTCAGTAAAAACAGAATTTTCTTCAAATTTTTTCAAACACAACACAGCAGGCTAGAACTCAACAAAAATGCACACAGTTTAATCTACAGCTGTTTGCTTGGAAAAGAATTCAATTTTAGACCAAATACGAAACGATTAATCTTCTTAAACTTCCATTCTTTGGATATTGGATAGTGCATTGTACGATGGAACAAAATGTATTTGTGTCACGCTGACTGCAATTGTCAACGTAGCCTGATATTCTTGATGGTTCCACAAGTACAAAAGGATTCCCATTTGCGATATTTGAAAAGTGTAGCATATTAATGCATTTGTTGGTTTGTGTGTGTGTGTTTTTTGAAGTCAACGTGTTTGTCAACTTGTGTGAAGGACTTGATTAAATCCTTTGTGAAAAAGCTATTCTCCATAAAAGGTTGATGCTGTAACGCGTTACAACAGTTCTGGTTGGCATTGTTAAAAGCACTAAAAACGTTTTGAAAAATTGCTTTTAAACAGCGTATCTTTGTCCTTCGTCATCGTCATCGTCAACATCGCTGTTGTTGTTGTTGCTGTTGCTGTTGCTGTTCCGTATTGTTGTTTTTATTTT